GATACCTATCATTGCATTCAAATCTAACCTACCCTAATCAGAGGTCCACCCCACCACCTAATGTACAGCAGAGCGACATCCACTTACCCGCTTTTTTAATATAACGATTTGTAGATTATGTATTATTCGGGACGTTGTCATTAAAAATCTGGTAAATTATGCGTTCTTCTTATTTTTTCAGAAATCTACAAATAATTTTATCAAAATTTAAAACTTTTTATTTAAATTATTTTTGATTTGTTTTTTTAAAAAAACCTTGCCTACCTTAAAAATTATTGCACTGTATAATCTTACAAAAAAAAGTGAAAATATAAAAAAATATATAAAATTGTATTGAAAATGATGACAATCGACAAAATTGCAATACAATTGAAGAAAGGTCAAAAATTGCAAAAAGTTGCACTTACAATTTTTATATATTAATTGGTACTCGTTTGAAACAAATTTATAACTTACTTAGCAACAAATCCGAACAATAGAAAAAAAATTGCAAATGCAACAACATCCGAGCCCTAGTCATAATTATTATTGTAATTTTTTAATAACAAATAATTTTATATTTTAGCTATACCAGATATACCAATTCTTCCAGCAGCAACTGCTATTCAAAATCCACAAGCTGCCCAGTTACAAAACCGTATTTTGAACATTTTGAATACATCCCTTTCTTCTGGTGCTCAATCTCAACAATCCGTTGAATCTAATCAAACTGAAAAAGAGCCATCAAGTATTCTTCAAGAACCTAATGTACAAAAAGCGTTAGAAAGTTTATTTCAGGGTGGTTCATTACTTAGAAAATAAATACTAATGTACATGTATTGTAAAAATAGTCCTTGTAAATAAATTATTTTGTTTTGCTTGTTTTAAAACAACTATTATAGGTAAAAGTATTTTTTATAGCCCTTCTGTTTATATTAATTTGATATAAGTATTTAATTTAAATAATAAAACAATATGAAATATAATTTTTTGTTCAATCTTGTATAAACTTGATGTTTATTGAGAGAGAATGTACTCAGCAATTACAAAATTCATGATATCGGTCACTTCAACACGGTTTTTTTAATAATTACTTATAAAGTGTGTGTTAAAATTACTATGCATTTGTAAAATTTGTTTATAATATTATAATAAATTTTTACTAATCACTAACATCTAATAGGCATTAAAACATAACAATGAATGTTAAATGTATTATATTATGTATTAGCATAATCTCACCTTATCCCAAGAAATACAAATTAAACATTCATTATCAATTATTGAATAACTAAGCCTTTTCTTAATTAGATAAATGGTAATATAGATCTTTTATTTATATATGGATATTAAATATAATCTATTACAATTAGTATATAAATGTTTATCCTTGAAAGTTCTTATTTAGTTTAACAAGAGTGAAGAGAATAACATAAATATGCATTTGTTATTATGTACATACAGGAACGGCGCTAGGATTTGCGGGGCCCCGGGCAAAATAAATAACAGTCACATTACATATTAACCAAACTAACTAATCTCTGAACAGTATAAAATATAATTTAAGAACTACGGGGCCTTGATTATAATTTTAAAATTGCGTGGCCCGGGGCAACTGCCCCGATTGCCCCCCCCCCCTTGCGCCGTCCCTGTGTACATATTATAAATACAATTAATAGCCAATAATCAAGCTATTCTGTTATAAATCATAATCCCCTATAAATTGTGATATTATTGATTAAGAGTCTAAAGTTTGGAGAAATTTATAAATTAGAATACCATTATGATTTATGGTACATTCTTCTTGTACAATACGTCATGTCCCCGCAAAAAATAAAAGTTTTTTCAATATTCTATTAATATAATTTGGTTATTTTAAAGAAAAATTATTAATAAATACAAAGATGTTGTACCACATGGCATATAATACACTATAGGTAATAATGCATGTAAATTGAGCAACATGATAAATATTAAATACCTAGGTTTTTTGCTATTATTTCCCCAGCTAATAGTGCCTGATTTAGGGGGGTACCAGGGTGATTAGTTACCCGGCCCCAAACGTTTTGCTAGTTTTATATATTATTATAATATTAATAAATTTATATGAGGCCTCTTTTTATTTAAGTCCCCGCCCCAAAAATTTGTAAATCAGGCTTTGCCAGCTAAAAATAATATGAAATAATCTTAAGTTTATTTAATTTTGTATATAACAGGTCACATATATATAGTAATCATGTACTAACATTTATATGGGTATCTTTGTCCGATGTTGTAAATAACACAGTAACAATAATCAAAATAATAATAAATTATAAATCGATGAAATATAATTTTGAATACAGGGTAACGACATTTTTCTTCATTAAATGGGTTAACACTGTGTTATTTAAAAACTTTTTACAGTATTGTTATTGCTTAATTTGTTTCTATGAAAATTAAATATTTCAATGTTTATTTTACTATCAAGTTCTGAGAGTTCTGATATATCTATTATGGAACTGCAAAAAATAACCCCAAATGAGATTTTATAAAATTAAAAATATATATAAGACATGATAGGTAAAAGTTAAAGTTTATCTTAATGTTAGTAGTATTACAAATTTACAAATATATTGTAATATGAATATAGTAGGTACATAATTACATACGAACAATATTGTTTTGTCCCCACTCATCCCCACAAATTATGTAAAATAATATAATTTTTTTTAAACATTATCTATTATTGACATTTTATATTATTATTATAATATATACATTTAGTACCATAACTGAAAAATTGATAGTTTTATATTTTTTTGACATTTTAATACAGACTTATAATTAGGTGTTACACTGTAAATACCATTTGTATTATAGTTATTTTTTAGGGGACTTAATTTCTATTGTTTTTTCGTGGATTATTTACTAGGCAAATCATCTATTACGTAACTACATTATATTTCATACTTAAAAATATTAAATACAATATATACATTTCATAGATGAGACGTAAAGTATTATTGAATTTAGTTGTAGTATGTAGTATGTATAAAAAAATTTATGATCTAACCATCCAGATCTTTTCTTTCAATAGCTACTTTTTACATAAAGTTCAAATCTGCCATCGGCCAAGTAAAAAGTACCTACTCAATTGAATAAAAATAATGTAATTTTCAATTAGCCATTTGGCTTATCAAAAGAGGAACAGTGCTTGACTTGTGGTAGTGGTGTGACGCAGGGGAACGGAGTATCACAACTAATTTTTCAGAAATTTTAGTGTACTTCTAATTTTATTTTTAAGGGACACACACAAGACGCTGCATTATTATGCATTTTTATAAAAATGCATGTGATAATATCATAATTTTTTTCTATGCAAAATCTTGAATATTAAATGGTAAAGAGATGCGGAAGAAACCCGTTGTCCAAAAAGGATTAAATTGGAAGATAAGAAAGAACAATATACGTATACCTATGGTAAAATATATGTCAATATCGAACAATTTAAATAAATACCTAATTAAAATGAATTGTGCGTTTACTTAGTTATTTTTAAGTTAGTGATTAGGTATATTTTGTAAATTATTACTGTAATATACAATATAATATTTATAGTAATTATTTTTTAATTTGATTATTTATAAATATTTTTTATACGATTCAAAAAGGAGTGTGGGGGTGTAGTCTTCACGGCTTAATAACATTTAACAAGTGATGGGAACGCTCTTTTTTTAAAATTAACTGAGTCCCAGCCACCAGGAGTTCCTCTGGGTATTTTAATTTTGCTAAGTCGAGCACTGGAAAGGAGAGTTGTATAACGTCGTGCTGAAGGTTAAATTAGGAATAATTTAAGTTTTAAATATTTATTATATATATTATTATAAATTACTGGAAAGAAAAAAAAATGTTAAAATAGCAAAAATTTGGTAAGCAAATTTTTAATAGTTAATTATATTATATTCGAGTTCATGAAAAATTAAATTTGATCCGTCTATAATTTAAATCTAAGTAAGTATATAATATACAAATACAAAAGGATTAGGTGCGTAATGTTATTAATTATATATTATTGTATTTTTTTATTATTGTTATTAACTATAGGAGATACTTTAGCTGAACACGTTCATAATCGCGGTTACTCGTAAAACGAAAAACTGCAAACATCAGAAGGACATAATTTCAAAATAACGATTTTCTCATTTTTTTTTTTTTTTTAAATTAAATTTTTTTTTTTTTTTTTTTTTTATCGTTCTTAACTCGCTGAAGTTAGTAGTGTTAATACCTAAATTTGTTTTTAAAAAAAACAAATAAACGAATGGTAGCTAAAATTTCAATTGTTCTTTCTTGCATTCTATTGAGCTAATTTTTGCTTATTTTTATTAAATGTTTGAAAGTTCATTAATTTTGAGATGTGGCAGTCTTGTTCTATAAATATCCGTAATAATCAATTATAAATAAATAGTGATATATTGGTGTGCATATATCATAAGATATCCGTTAAATTATATTTTAATTAAAATAAATTACAAACTCAAATAAATTATTATTATATCAAGAAACTACTAAATCTACAAATCTACGATATGTATATATGAATAATCATAATATAAGTAAATGAAATGGATGAATATAATATGAACATTGGCTAGAATGAATTGAGAGTGGAGATATGATCAAGCTTCAAATTTTGATTTCACCATCGTTCTTGAATAAGAAAAAAAAAATAATAAAAATGAATTATAACTTGGCGTGTGGCAGTAAAGTAAATAGGTACATCATAAAACATAGGTAAAATTGCAAATTTCGGACTTCCAAAATAATGATTTACTCAATTGTTGTTTCCACCATATATTGTTCTTAACTTGTGTTTCAAAAAAAAAAAAAAATGTGTGGTAGCTAAAATGCAATATAATTAACCTTTAATTGATTACTGATGAAATTAAAAATCAATGCCCATTGCCCATCACTGCAGCCTTTTTCGATTTTTAACGTTCTTGCTCTAAATAAAACTTATTTTCATGTAATGTTGAGTGAATAACAGAAAAATCAAATGCGGAGGTTTTAAATTTAATAATTTGTGACATTGTAATCGTATTATGAAAAATATCTGTCTTGTATTATAGAATATAATTTTTTATTACCACGTCTCAAAATATGACAGTTTTTTAATAACATAAAAATTGGAAAATTATAGCATCTATATTATTCTATATTAGTACTCTAACTTTTTGGGATAGAAAGAGTAAGTATTTCATAAATCATAATATTATATTTGATAAAGTCGTATTGTAAAGTACATTTATAAGTATTTTAAGTACCTACCTATTTAGATTTTTAATTTCAAATGTATCGGTAAAACACTCTTTATAAGGATTAAAAACAATTTATTCTAATTTTATTTATTATTTTAGATTCAGAAAATATTTTTTAATTTATACTTTCCTAAAATATATGTAAAGAATATTCGTTGTGATATTTGTAGGTTTTAGTCTTATGACTTATGTTTTATACTGTGTTATAATAAATGGTTTGATGAGAACTGAGAAGTGAATATATAGCTATCATAATATAATTTAATATAAGTATAAGACAGGCGGAAGCAATGCGAAAGCAGATCCCGCGGCGTCGTCAAAACGGAAAAAAAAAAAAGTATAAGACAGTAGGTATAATTTACCTATGTTAGTATGCTGCATTATTTTGTAATTGTTATGATGTATATAGTCGATAATTCGCATGATATAATAAACAATAACGATATAATTTATAGTGTTTATATTATAACTATATTTAGTCTAAGTCTACTCTGTCGTACCACAGATTATATTTATATTAATTTTAATATTTTATATTAATTAGTCGTTACTGTTTAACTGTTGAAAATAGGTTTAATCG